GCCTGGCGACCGGACGAAGGGCCCGGCTTGAGAGCGCGGCCCCTCCGCGAGCAGCCACCGGTCGGCGCGGCGGATCGGGGTCCCCGGGGGTCCCCGGCTGCCCGCCCTGCGCAGGTCGCTCGGGGAACCGCTTAGCGCCCGGGAGTCGGGGTGTCAGGGAGGCTTTGCGCGGCTGTGCAGGACGAGTGGTACTGGCCACGTTTCAGAGTAGACGCGGCGACCGGAGCAAGCGCCGGTGCGGGCGAGGGCGCCCAGACGGCCGAGGGTCCGCCCTGCTGCGCTGTCCGCTCGGCTGTGCCCGCGCGGGCACGGCTGCACCCTGGGGCCAGGAGGCACGAGGGTCGTTCTCCCGCGGCTTCGCCAGGGGCTTCCTGGCCTGTCCCTCGGGGGCTTGGTACCCTCCCGTGTCACACGGGCTCCCGGCATGGCACCCCTGCGCCCGGGCGCCCGCTGTCATCGTGGGGGGCCCTCTCCACGTGACCTTGGACCCTGAGGCGGCGGCAGCGGCCCCTCAGCACACTCTTCCAGATGCCCGAGAACGCCTGCCGTTTCCGCCAGGGCCCTGATGGCTTCCCCCAGCCCCCGACTGAGGCGCCTCTCCGCAGAGGGACCGGAGCGTGGGAGGGTGTTGTACTCGCGCACCTCTGTGTCCGGGCCTGTCGGGGCCACTGGGCCCGTGAGGCCATCACAGTACAACTGAGCTGCGTGTCTCTCTGGGGAGGCCCGCAGGCCTGGCCCTGGCCCTCTCCAGACCCACGGGCAGCCGGTCTTGGGGCCTCGTCTTCTGCAGGGCCCACCCTCTGCCTGTGGCTGACCTCAGTCTGACTGAGCTGTCTGTCACACCTGCGGCTGCCCGCCTTCCTCACTGTACCCCTGTCCACAGTGGGGCTCATCTGGCCTCTTCCAGGTGCCCTGTCCAGCCACGGCCCAGGAAGTCCTGGCTCCAGTCATTTTGGAGACTCCATTCTTCTGTCCAGCAATTGGCTTAAAACAAATTCAAGCTAAATGGATCCTGGGCCAGCACTGTTGGGAGTGGTCCGGGAAGGATTTCCTCACTCGAAAGGGAACAAAAGAGGGGATGTCCTCTTTCCCGCTGGATGTCATCTGGAGGTGATGTGCAGTCCTCTTGCACCTGTGAGGAACATCCTGGTGGTGGGGCAGCGGCGTGGAGAGACAGGATGGGGTCCTTGCTCACCCCAGCAGGCCCTTCACCCCTCTTCTCACTCCACAGCCGGAAAGCTGCTGTTGGAGAGTAATAATTATCTGCATTTCAAGGTGGTGAGTTGGATTTTTGGTTCCAACAGGATCAGCATCTTTATCTTATGAAAACAAGACCATCAGAACTCTTAAAATGACAGAAAATCAAACGCAGCCTGTGAGAAGTTGCTGTGCAGCAAACTAGCTCCAACGTAGGCGCTCAAACCAGAGGAGTCCTTACCCCCCAGTAGCCTGGCGTGGTGGGAGGGCTCCTGCTGTGGGGGATGGAGGTGGGAGTGCTGGTGTTGTTCCTCAGGGGTCTTGGGCACACACGCACACACATGCGCACACACATCCTTGCGTCTGCAGGGCCTGTGTTGCTGGAGCAGGCTGGCCTCCTGTGCCTGGGCCTCTCACCGCCAGACACCAAGAGGGTCACAAGGCATCCCACGTGGTCTCCAGGGCTCTGTTGGGAAATCCCAGATGGCATCCTCTGCCACTCTCAGTGCCAGTGAGTTCCAAGGCCAAGCCAGACCCCAGGTGGAGGGTAGTTTTGCTTCCAGATGGAAGGAGGCCACGTGCAAACAGAATGGAGGGCCAGGCGGGTTCATCTCCAGGAATAATCCACCAAGAGCAGCTTATCAGGCTCCTGCCAGCTTGAGCTGCTGGTGGCACGTGCGTGAGTGTCCCATTGGGCGGCTGGGACCGCTGGTGGTGGGAGTGGAGGTTGTGCGTGTGCCGCCGGTGGTTCAAGTGCTGGGAGAGAGACACACAGACAACACCGCGTTGTGAATGTGTTGAACGTTGCTGGGCTGTGTCAGTGCTGGCTGGGAGAGGGAGGCCACTGCCTGCTCCAAGGCCACTGTTCCTCCGCCGCCTACAGACAGAAGAAGAGCTTCCCTCAGGTGGGACAGGGAGGGAGAGCAGTCCCGGCAGGCCAGGCCCTGAGCAGCAGAGCTCACAAGGTGGTTGACTGGGGCCTGAGGTAGCTGTTGCTTGCCCAGTGACAACTGTCCATGGGGATAAGATCATCTTTATCAGCCTCTGGTCTCAGGGTGCAGCCCGCTCACCCACAGTGTGGCTGCTTCACAGTGCAGTGATGAGGTATAAACCCCAAAACCTAGGGTGAGACTGTGGGCTCGCATCGACACCTTGCGCAGCACCCACTCCCAGCAGGGCCCCCTGCAGTCTTCCTCCTTCCCTTCTGCCTCGGGAGACACAGATGGAAACAGAACACGCGGATTCATTAAGCCCTAAGCAGAAACTGTCCCAGACAGCAAAGTTATTTACTAATGCTAATTATTTACTAATGTGGGCAGTCAGATGCTAATTATTTACTAATGTGGGCAGTCAGATGGGGCCAGCCCTGGAGAGGTCAGTGCGGAAGACAGCTGTGGCTGGAGGTACATTCCTTGAAGGTCAGGCCTCGGGACAGAGAGGGAGGACTCCACAGCATACTTCCGCTAGGGTGAACAGAGGGACTGATGCTCTAAACAGGTGTCAGTCTCAGGATGGAGAGGAGGACTACACAGCACACTTCCGCTAGGGGTGAACAGAAGGACTGATGCTCTTAAGCAGGTGTCAATCACCTAGGGTGGAGGACCCAACCTTTTCAACCTACTCCTTCCAGGAAAGTCCTTGTTTGTCCCATGTGTGCTTGCCGAGTAACTTGCTTCCCCATTGGATCCCCATTTAATCAGTATGACCTAAGTGACTATACTTGTACTCTTATTGGCTTACCATAGTTTTGTCCCACCTAATACCCACTTTGTGACTTCTTATTGGATCAGTATTGCCTAAACAACTACACTGGTAATTTTATTAGTTAACTGTAGTTTGTCTCACCTTATACTGCCCTCACCACAAGGTTTTGTTGTATAAAGCTCCCTTGAGCAGGTTCCCCTGGTCCCTTCTGTCTCTCTTAGTTTTCTTTCCTCAATAAATACTTTTTCTTGGCCAGGCACAGTGGTGCATGCCTGTAATCCTAGCACTCAGGAGGCTGAGGCAGGAGGATCGTTGTGAGTTCAAGACTAGCCTGGACTACAAAGTGAGCTCAAGGCCAGCCTGCACTGCATAGTGAGACCTTGTCTCAAAAAGACAAATAATAATAATAATAATAATGATACTTTCCTCTTCTCTTGTTACTAGAATTTATTCTTCAATTTTATAAAATATGAACTTGGTGTGTCAGAGATCTAGCAGGTTGAGAGTTATATTTCCCTTATGTTACCTGGATTATTGGAGGTCCTATGACATTCCTGTATCATACACCCTATATCAAAACAACTTTTGGGAAATCAAGTGACAGGCAGAAGCTAAGCCCAAGGTTGAGAACATGGAGGAGACTTGTGCCTGGGAGCAGGCGGGGCACCTGGCCTGGGGGTTGAAGCCTCGCCCTGGGCCAGTGCACCTCTGTCGGGGCACCTCCGCAGTCCAGGAGCACTGGGTGGCCGTGTCCCCTGTGCTGGTGGTGGAGTGCTTCAGTGAAGGAACTTGATTTCTGGGCCCGCACAACTCCCCCTCCTTTGTGTCTGCGAGTTGTTCTCACCTGCTCGCCTCGGAGTCCGTAGTGTGTCTTTCAGTCACGTGAAAAGTGTCCCCTTTCTCATCACCTGCTCAGTGACAGTTGCTGTCCACAAGGCCCTTGGGCTGAAGACTTGGTCCACAGTCTAGGGCACTTTGGGAGGTAGAGTGAGGTGGGAGGAGGAAGGTCACAGGATGCTGGACAGGGTCATTCTTGTCTTCTCCCAGCTACCTGAGATGACCTTGCAGTCCCCACCCCCCAAGTTCTGCAGGACACAGGCCCAAAATTGAGAGAGTCCACCTGCCCAGGGGCCAAAACAAACATCCCCTCCTTTGGCGACTATCTCAGGTATTTTGTTGCCGCAACAGGAAGCTGACTCACGCACTCCTCTAGCATTTTTGGGGCACCACTGAGTAAAATTCCTGAGCCTTGGTTGTAAATTAACAGTACCCACGGAAATTTCCCAACAATCGTGCTTCCCCAGGACACTGCCCTCCTGACTTTGCGTTCAGCTGGCCTAGGGTGGGGTCTGAGCTCAGTCGTTCTACAGCCTGGGTGTCTGCTGCAGGGTGAGCGCCACCTGCAGGGACCTAGTCCCCCACCCTCCTACACCCCAGCGTTGCATGGAGCCCCGTAGGGTGAGCTCAGCCAACAGGGAGAGAGCTAAGGGACCCCAACTGCGATTTGGAGCCTTGAGCACCAGGTAACAGCACAGAAGGGCTTGAAGGAGGGGGCGTGCAGAACCAGACACCTCAGTCCAGAGTGGCTCCCACAACCACACAGGATGCTATCCGAGGCTCCGGGCTCAAAGTACCAAGGTTCCCACGGCCCCCTCTGCCAGACCGCCCCCACCCCCGGAACGTGAGGCCGAAACGTCCCATGCCCTGGACGAGCCTGAGGGGTTGTACCTCCAAGTTACTTTTAAAAATCTAGTTCAGTTTGGTATTACATAGGTGCCAGAAAAGGGAAAAGGTTCTGTTTTGTTGTCATTCTTACTCCAAAATATGTGAAGAGGATGAGGGTCAATCTCACCGCAAGATTTAATCTTCCGGGCAGCTCTGGCTTGAGCTCCACTTGAGAATGGCTTCCTGGTCTGCCTGGGTTGCACAGGCCAGCTGAACGCAAAGTCAGGAGGGCACATCTGCTGTGCTTCTCTGTTGAGTCCTCCACTGCGGGTATCTGGCTGGCCCCAGGTCGCAGCCATTGTGAATACTGGCACTGTGAAGCCCTGCACTTTGCCCTGGGCACCCTGGCATGAAACCTGGACCCTGTAGGTAACCTGGGGCGTGGACCCTGCCCCGTGGGGTTCTGCATCAGCAAGTGGTGACCTCAGTAGCTTGCAATGCAAATCCAGCTGGGATAACTCTGGAGGGCGAGGAAACTCAGGCCGGGCCCCGACACATGCAGTGTCTGCGCCACAGCTCCCCAGCTTGGTGGAGGGGTGATGCCCCAGCAGGAGTGGTCACAGTGGAGGGCAGAGGCCACAACCGGGTGACAGTGTATGGCTGTGCCCGGTGCGGGGCCCAGCACCCAGCAGCGGCTGGCTGGGAGCCGCCTGGTCCCCGTTGCCGCATGGCAGTGGTGATCTGCACTGCCCCCAGCCCCTCGGAGGTCCTTCAGGGTTCTCTCCATGCAGCGACTGTGTACTTCCTTCCCATCTCTGTCTTCACGCCTCCCCGCACCGCCCCCAGCACGGCTCTTCTGTGCCCTCTGACCATGCCCAGTCTTCTGATGAGGGACTGACAGCTTGTCCCAGGGGCTTGAAGCTGGGCTCCCTCATGCTGCTTAATCTTGCCTGTGGGGAAAAAGCCCCAGCGTGGGTCTGCTGCAGGCCAAGGCTGGGCACTGCGCAAGGCTGGACACCTCTCTCCGGCCAGTGCATCCTGCTCCCTCACTGAGAGCCACAAGGAGACATCTCAAGCCAGTCCTCAGAGATGCTGCCACGCGGCTGTCTTTCTGGAGACGGTGTCAGGAA